TATATATTTTGGATACTAACTGTTTATTGGATATGTCATTTGCAAATATCTTCTCCCAGTCTGTGGGATGCCTTTTAGTTTTGTTGATTGTTTCCTTTGCTGTGCAGAAGCTTTTTATTTTGATGTAGTCCCCGTAGTTTATTTTTGCTTTCATCTCCCTTGTTTCAGGAGACCTATGTAGAAAGTAGTTGCTGTGGCTGATGGTCAAAGGAGTTAGGATTTTTACAGTTTTTTTTTTTTTTTTAAGATTTTATTTATTTATTTGACAGAGAGAGACAGCTAGAGAAGGAACACAAGCAGGGGAAGTGGGAGAAGGAGAAGCAGGCTTCCCACCGAGCAGGGAACCTGATGTGCAGGGCTCCATCCCAGGACCCTGGAATCATGACCTGAGCCAAAGGCAGACGCCTAACGACTGAGCCACTCACGTGCCCCGGATTTCTACTGTTTTTGTGGTTTTTATTTTTTCAGGTCTCAAATTTAGATCTTTAAGCTGTTTTAACTTTATTTTTGTATTGGTGTAAGAAAGTGGTCCATTTTTGTTCTTTTGCATATTGCTGTCCAGTGTGTCATTTAGTTTTGGCCATATTTCTGAACTCAGTAATCCAGTAGTATAGTGTGTAATCTTTTGTGACTGACTTCTTATGTGACTGACTTAGCATGCTTGTGAGATTTATCTATGTTACTGTATGGAGCGGTAGTTCATTCTTACTGCTACAAATCACTGCATTTACAAAAATCTATCCACTCTGAGAAAGAGGAACCCTTTTACACTGTTGGTGGGAGTGCAAGCTGGTACACTCACTCTGGAAAATAGTGTGGAGGTTTCTCAAAACGTTCAAAATAGAGCTACCCAGGGGCACCTGGGTGGCTCAGTGGGTTAAAGCCTCTCTGCCTTTGGCTCAGGTCATGATCCCAAGGTTCTGGGATCGAGCTCCGCATTGGGCTCTCTGCTCAGCAGGGAGCCTGCTTCCCTTCCTCTCCCTTTGCCTGTCTCTCTGCCTATTTGTAATCTCTGTCTTTCAAATAAATAAATAAAATCTTTAAAAAAAAATAGAGCTACCCTATGACCCAGCTGTTGCACTACTAGGTATTTACTCCCAAAATACAAATGTAGTGATCAGAAGGGGCACGTGCATCCCAATGTTTACAGCAGCAATGTCCATAATAGCCAAACTATGGAAAGAACCCAGACGTCCCTTGACGGATGAATGGATAAAGAAGATATGGGGGGTGTATGTTTGTGTACATGTATATCTATATACACACACACATATAACAATATTACTCAGCCATCAAAAAAAAAAGAAATGTTGCCATTCACAATGACATGGATGGAAATAGAGGGTAATTAGGCTAAGTGAAATAATTCAGTCAGAGAAAGAAAATTATCGTATGATTTCACTCTTATGTGGAATTTAAGAAACAAAACAGGAGTATAGGGGAAGGGAGGGAAAAATAAAACAAGATGAAATCAGAGAGGGGGACAAACCATAAGGGACTCTTAATCATAGGAAACAAACCAAAGGTTGCTGGAGAGGAGGGAGTAGGGGAATGGGGGAAACTGAGTGATGGACATTAAGGAGGGCATGTGGTGTAATGAGCACTGGGTGTTATATAAGACTGGTGAATCACTGACCTCCACCTGTGAAACTAATAATACACTATATGTTAACAAATTGAATTTAAATGAAAAAAATTTCTTCATTTACTTAAAAAGAAATCTGTCCATTCTTTCATTGATAACTGGCTATTTCCTATTTGGCAGGTACAAATAATGCTGCTGAGAACATTCTCATTTGTTTAGGTACACATAAACATGCAATCTCCTGAGTGTATCCGTAGGAGTAGAATACAGGATTGTAGGCTGGTCATATATTCAACTTCACCGTTATTGAGTCCGTTTTCCAAAGCTGTGCCAGCTTGCACTCCCAACTAGTAACATACTCGTTCGGATGCTACGTGTTGTTGCCGACTCTTGATATTGTCAGTCTTTTTTAATATCTAGTATTTTATTGTGGTTTTAACTTTCCCTGATGATCAGTGGAATTAAGCATCTTTTCATATGTTTTTTAGATATGATAATAGTCATTTAGATATAGGTTAGAAAAATATTTGTTTCTGGTTCACTTACAGTGTTGGTGGCTGTTGTGAAGCTATATGTGTTTTTATTCTGGAAATTAGGCCGAAAGAGCAGCCCCTCTTGGAATATGCTCCTATTTCAGAGGGAAAGAGGGAAAAAATGAGCAGAAACTGCTAAAATCTTTTGATGCTTCTGCTTGGATTTATTGAAGATCATGTCTATTCATATTCCATAGGCCAAAAAAGCCTATCACAAAACAGTGCTCAGTGTCGGAAGTTCTCTCTCACAGGAGGCATTGCAAGTCACATCATCATGGATGGGGGTGAAAAATCCTTTCACAGGAGGAGAAACCACAAATACTCTGAAACAAAAAGTCTGCCACTTTGTTAGGTACCTGTTGAACTATTGTGGTTTTCTTTTACCTTGACTTTTTCTTAGTGATGCTGATGAGGTTTCTTTTTTCCCCCCTCTGGTTATAAAACCTGGTGGCTCAGTCAGTTAAGCATCTGACTCTGGGTTTCCGTTCAGGTTATGACCTCAGGGTCCTGAGATGGATCCCTGCTCACGGAGGGTATGTGTGTGTGTGTGTGTGTGTGTGTGTGTGTGTGTGTGTGTGTGTGACCTACTTGAGAGTCTTTCTCCTCCCTCTCCCTCCCCCTTTGCTCTTTCTCCGTTCTTGCTTGCACTCTCTCAAATAAATCTTAAAAAAAAAATCAGTGAAACTTGTTGGGGTTATATGTAATTGCAGATATTTTCTTCTTCTCTGTAACTTGCCTTTTAGATTCCTCATGTCTTTTCCTAAATAAAATTCTTAAAAAAAAAAATTGACATGTAGTGTTAGTTTCAGGTGTGCAACATTAAGATTTGAGATTATATATATTGTAAATAAAATTATTAATTTCAATGTCTCATTTGTATTTTTCCTTCATAATTGTACTTTTGTGTCTTAAGAAAATTTTCCTTACTCCAAAATTATGAAGATACTCTTCTGTTACCTTCTAGAGTCTTTATTATTATACCTTTTACATTTCAGTGTGCAGTCCTCCTAGAATTAGTGCTTAGTTGACATTTTAACATACTTCTGTAAGTCTAGGAAAAAGCTAAAATGGTTTTAGTAGTTTCAAATAAACTCAGTTTACGTATAGAAACATATTAATACTAAACTCATGTATATGTAGAAAATATATCTGTTAGTAACACCTCTTTTACCACATTCTCAGAGATAAAAACATACTGGGCATGTTTAAATTTTTACTGCTTTTAAACCTGCAGAAATTCATCTTTCTCCATAGCTGCAAGTAGCCAGTGAACCACAAAGTCTTTCCTAGTTAAGGTATTATCAGGAAGATAACAGATGTTCTTTAAATGAGGCCTTAATCTTGGTCCTTCCGGAAGTTGAGATTTTCATTTTAATTTCATCTTGTGTGCTTACTTAATTTCTTCCTCTTGTCCTACCTTGTCTGTATAAATTTCTAGTGAAGAACCAAAGGGAATAATATCTGAATGTTTAATACAGGAATTGTTTAAATAATTGTATTTCCATTATGCAAACACATTGATGGTTTGCCTTTCTTTAGCAAAGGCTTAAGTTTTGTCCTATAATGATACTTAACACCTAAACATTAAACATCTTTTGGAGAATTATAACTATTCTAATATTTGTGGAATAATTTGGGAATTAAGTTTTATCATCCTGTAGACCAAAATATTTGATCTTAAGAATTGACCAAGTAAGGGCACCTGGGTGGCTCAGTTGGTTGAATGACTGCCTTCCGCTCAGGTCATGATCCTGGAGTCCCGGGATGGAGTCCCGCATCGGGCTCCCTGCTCAGCAGGGAGTCCGCTTCTCCCTTTGACCCTCTCCCCTCTCATGCTCTCTCTCTCTCAAGTAAATAAATAAAATCTTTCAAGTAAATAAATAAAAACTTCAAAAAAAGAATTGACCAAGTTAAACAGTGACATTTGGAAATTGTTTGGTTTTAACTCCTTTTTTTTTTTTTAAAAGATTTTATTTATTTATTTGAGAGAGGGAACACAAACAGGGGGAGTGTGAGAGGGAGAAGCAGGCTTCCAGCTGAGCAGGGAGCCCGTTATGGGGCTCCATCCCAGGAACCTGGGATGATGACCTAAGCCACCCAGTCTCCCACAATCGGTCAAAACTCTTACATGTAGGAAAGAGGAAATTATTTAAACACAAGTTGTTTAAAAAAATCATACACATTAAAGATCATTGTGAACATTAATGAATAAAAAAATCACTGATTATAAAGGATTTGGTCAATATAGAAATAAGTTGTGTCTTTGTGTTCAACTTTAAAAAATACATAGGTATCAAGAAGTTGGGATTCTTAGTAGGTACTACACAAGTGATTTCCATATGGGTACTTAGAAATAAATATGCTGGGGGCACGTGCGTGGCTCAGTTGGTTAAGTGCCTGCCTTTGGCTCGGTTCATAATCCCAGGGTCCTGGGATTGGGTCCCACATCGGGGTCCCTGCTCAGTGGGGAGCCTGCTTCTCTTTCTCCTCGGCCCCCACTCATGCTCTCTCTCTTTCTGACAAATAAATAAAATCTTTAAAAAAAAAAAAAAAGAGTTTCAGGGTGCAACCCCTAAATGTGGTTTCTGGTACTTCAGATGTAACATCTGTTCATAACAGGGTTGCAGGATTATGTCCCCCATTATGTGATAGCAGTTTTTCTTTCTTTCAAATAACAACCATGTGGCTATGCAGTAATTTTTCTTCTGTAAAATTTACTTCCAACCTTTATTTAGATTTTGTGATTCTTGAGGACTTCCCCTTAAATGCCTTGACCTTCAGACAAAGTAATATTATTAACTTTTGATAGTTTTAGTAGTAAACATGGACCATTATCCAGGGCTCATTTTATTAACATAGTATTTATTGGTCTTGCTTTTCAGCGGGGATCTGATGAGCTTCTTTCTTCTGGTGTCATTAACGGACCTTTTACCATGAACAATTCTACTCCTACAGGTGTGTATGGTGAGTTTTCACTTTTTCAAAATCTAAAATGTTTTCTTTCTGTGAGTTTCAAAAATAATTTTTTTTACAGTGTTCTTTGCTCATCTTACAAACATTTCTTGAAGTCCATTATTTATAACAAAACTAAAATTTCCTGCAGTCAAGCTCACATAAGTGAAATTACCAATTGTAGATCTTAAGTTTTAAGAATTTGGATCTAATTTGATAATTACTTTTTTGATTGATGTTCTTTGTGTTTTATAGTTGTGATAAAACTGTCAATCAGTTGGTGACCCAGAACAATTGAGTAAAAGCTGGATTAAAGCTTGTGTTGAATGATGGTTTAGCATATTAGAAGTATTAAAACTATAAGATCAAATTATTTTTAAAAATTGGAACATAATTTACATTCTGTAGGTTACCATGTGGTTTAAAAATAAATGTTCTTGAAATTTGGGGACTGTAAAATGAACTGGTGGAGTATAGTTAAGAGGCTCTTACTGTATAGAATATCCCAGTTAGGGATGGTAATTTGTACTGTACCACTAGCAGTTGTGATAGAGAGAATGAAAGCATTCACAGAAGGTGAAATAGATAGTAGCTGCTGGCTAATTGAATGTTTGAATAAGGGATTCCATCAGTGATTTATTTCCAGGTTTTGGATTGGATAACTGGGTAGATGAATGGTGGTGCCATTTACGTAGAATATATAGGAAGAAGTTGGACAGCATAACAGGTTCAGATTTTTATATGTTGAATTTGAGGTTCCTTTGCAACATCCAAATGGAAGTGTTGGGTAGTCACTGGATTCTTCTGGTCTCAACATCAGGAGAGAAATTAGGAAATTAGCATCATCCACAGTTGAAAAGGCATGAAGAGTGGAGAGTTTCAGAAAAGGCCAGATATTTATTTATTTATAAAAATTTTATTTATTTATTAGAGACATGAAGAGTGGAGAGTTTCAGAAAAGGCCAGATATTTATTTATTTATAAAAATTTTATTTATTTATTTATTAGAGAAAGAGTGCAAAAGAGTATATAAGCAGGGGAGAAGGAGAAATAGGTTCCCCACTGAGTGGGGAGCCCAGCGCAGGGCTCAATCCCAGGACTGTGGGATCATGACCTGAGCCGAAGGCAGATGCCCAATGAACTGAGCCACCCAGGTACCCCTGAAGGCCAGATTTTTATCCAAATGTTTTTGGGTTACAGGGAATAAGAAATGAGTGGACCTCACTTTCTAGACCCTGAGCTATATGATGTTTAGGAGAATGAACGGCTTTTTTGTGAGGACTGTATAAGAGTAGTAGACTAGGTTCTGTTAAGGCAAAAGATGCAATGAAAATTCATGGAAGAGATAAGAATATATGGGAATTAGTTAACCATGGTACTCTGTTCTACAGTACTAAATGGAAAGGTTTTGTGGACAGGACAGCAACGGAGGACTTGTTCTTGTAGAAGTGTGAACAGAGTAATATGAACATGAAACTAAAGTGTTTTCTCAAACTTGAGCTGGCATCAGAATCACCTGGAGGGCCTGTTAAAGCATAGCTGTTGAGTCCATATCCAGAATTTCTAATAAAGTAGATCTGAGGTGGGTCCTCAGAATTTGTATTTGCACAAGTTTCTGGGTAATAGTGATGTTGCCTTGAGGAACCATACTTTGAGAACTGTTGTATGAGGAAATACTAGAATCTAAAGTTTCTAAACCTAATTATCCTCTTGGTCAGGTATGTTTGTAAAAATGCTAAAAAAAATTGTTGTAAAAAAAAAAATTGCTAGAGACTTAGGGGGCTTGGGTGGCTCAGTTGGTTAAGCCTCTGACTCCTGATCTCAGCTCGCACGCTTTGATATCAGGGTCATGTGTTCAAGTCTCATGTTGGGTTCCATACTGGGCATGGAGCCTACTTTAAAAAAAAAAAAAAGTCCTTACTCCTAGAGTTACAGTAAATCTAAGGTGGGGCCGATTATATTTTTATTTTAAAAATAGGTCACTTTGGTCACGTATATGAACTACCAGGATGGATAACCAGAAAGATTTCACGTTTGTTTATTGATTACTTAGGAAAAGAAAGACATAGGAAATGGGAGTTTAGCTGGCAGCAGCAGTTTGTTCTGTTTTGCTTTTATGTTTTGAATGTCTTGTGTCCCATTCTGTGTTCAGTGTTTCTCTTCCTGAAGCATATCCTCTTCAGTAGCTATTTCTGCAAAGCTCTATAAATGGTAACCTCTCAGTTTCACTAAAAATGTTTATTTCATTATCTCTATTCAATGTTAGTTAGCTATTTTGAATTTTAGGTTGCCAGTTTTTTCTCTTAACACAATGAAGGTATTGTTCTATTATTCTTTTGGTGTCTGTTGTTGAGAAGTCTGTTGTTAGTGTTGGTTATTACTTTGTAGGTAAAATTACTTCTCTATAGTCATTTTAAAACATTTTCCTCCTTATTTTTGTTCAGTGGTTTAACTCCTATTTGTAGGTAGGGATCACAGATTGGCAACCCTGGATGATCACTAAAATAGCTTGAGAAGCTCTGAGGAAAATATAGATACCTTGACCACACCAATTCTAAAATCTTGGGGTAGAGGGATGAGCAGTTTTTTGTTTATTTTTAAAACTTCTTAGATGATAATCGTAAGGTTCAGCTAGTGTTGAGGACCATTGCTAGAGACTTACTTTCATTCATCTTTCTTTTTTTTTTTTTTTTTTTAAAGATTTTTTATTTATTTATTTGTCAGAGAGAGAGAGGGAGAGAGAGCAAGCACAGGCAGACAGAATGGCAGGCAGAGGCAGAGGGAGAAGCAGGCTCCCCGACGAGCAAGGAGCCTGATGTGGGACTCGATCCCAGGACGCTGGGATCATGACCTGAGCCGAAGGCAGCTGCTTAACCAACTGAGCCACCCAGGCGTCCCTTCATTCATCTTTCTTAGGCGTGACCCAGCTCTTCACAGAACTGCCTTCTCCTGGAACTCCAGTTAGAAATGTATAGGACCGTTTCATTCAGTCCTGTATTTGTTTTAACCTCTTACATTCATTGTCATGTCTTTCCCCTTAAGGTCCTATATTTTGGATAATTTCCTTAAAATGTTTTTCTGATTCACTTATTCTGTGTTCAGCTTTGTCCAATGTGCTGTTTAGTCCTTCGGTTAAATATTTGCTTATAACCTATTATTTTTCCTTGTGTGAGTCATAATTTTTAGCTGAATTGCTTTTTCTTTTGTGAGGATCTCTAAGGTGTTTTGTGTTTGCTCTGCTAAACTTTCTAAGGTATCACCAGCCCCTAACATGGTCTAATGTGTATGTTGATTTATTGCCTTGGAGATTCTTAGACCAGAGAAGAAGAGAAAATTCAGAATCCAAACATTCACATTTCCCCATCAGAATCTGAACAGAGATGGGCTTCCTTTTTAAATACTTTTGAAATATGAGTCTGTCTTTCTTTCTTTCTTTCTTGATGGGAAGTTTCTGATTTTAGTTTGCTTTCACTGAGGGCCTTGGCTGTTGACATGACTTGGGGAAATTTCACTTTTTTTCTTTTGAGGTCATTTATACAGCAAAAATATTTTTGTGATATTTGGTCTAATATTTGCAAATTTCTAAAAGAACTAAAATTTCAAGATTTGGGTGCTCCATTCCTTGACTATAATAAAGATTCCTAGTTGATTTTGAACAAATTTGGAGAGAAAGGTTTTAGGGCTCATTTACAAATGAGTTTTTAATGCCTGTGTGAGGTAGTTTTTCAAAGATACAGAAATTTAAAAAATCACATTGATAATAATGGGTAGGTCAAAGAGCCTGGTGTACAGTTGTGCCGAAGGAGCTTTTTGGTATTCAGTATAATCTTACCACAAAATTTTTGTGGTTCATTTAATCTAAATGTGGATTTAAAAATAATTTCTAAAATTTAATGACTGTACTATCTATTAGTAGAATATTGCTTGTTTGGTAAAGGAGTTATGTATGTACTAAACTAATTGCAAATACACATCTGCCCCATAGGATTATTGCACCAAAACTTAATGTTTGTATTATGTATGTATTATGTTATTACCTCAAAAAAAGTAGATCTTTAATGTAGAACTTTTTTTTTCTTTTTTTTTTTTTGAGAGGGAGGAAGGAGGGGCAGACCGGAGGGAGAGAAAGAATCCTAAGCAGGCTCCATGCTGGACATGCAATCTCACAACACTGCAATCATGACCTGAGCTGAAATCAAGTCAGATGCTTAACAAACTGAGCCACCCAGGTGCCCTTTTAATGTAGAACTTTTAAAACTCAATTTTCGGGGCACCTGGGTGGCTCAGTGGGTTAAAGCCTCTGCCTTCCGCTCAGGTTATGATCCCAGGGTCCTGGGATCGAGCCCCGAATCGGGCTCTCTGCTCAGCGGGGAGCCTGCTTCCCTTCCTCTCTCTGCCTGCCTCTCTGCCTACTTGTGATCTCTGTCTGTCAAATAAATAAAATCTTTAAAAATAAATAAATAAATAAATAAAACTCAATTTCCATTAGTATTAGGTATTTCACTTTTTTTTTTTTAAAGATTTTATTTATTTATTTGACAGACAGAGATCACAAGTAGGCAGAGAGGCAGGCAGAGAGAGAGGAAGAAGCAGGCTCCCTGCTGAGCAGAGAGCCTGATGCGGGGCTCGATCCCAGGACCCTGGGATCATGACCTGAGCCGAAAGCAGAGGCTTTAACCCACTGAGCCACCCAGGCGCCCCGGTATTTCACTTTTGATAGAGTGATTTCCCAAAAGCTTTATTTTGATTCCACTGAAATATTCAACATTCAGTCATCATTGGGTAATAACTGATTTTTCATTGTTAGCAGATGATGATAAAACTGATATAATTTAGCTTTTGGCAAAGTTCTGTTGATGGGGCTAACATTATTTATTTTATTTTATTTTTTTAAGATTGTGTTTATTTATTTGACAGAGATCACAAGCAGGCAGAACAGCAGGCAGAGGGTGGGGCGGGGGGAAGCAGACTCCCCGGTGAGGAGAGAACCTAATGTGGGGCTTGATTCCAGG